TGGAATGTTATATAAATGATTTAGCTGAGGGCCTGTAGCAAGGAACAGATGTGTCCAATTTTATCCTACAAGGTAACGTCAGACTCAAGACTAGAACCCAGCCGGGCTCGGTGGCTCAGTCTGTATTCCCGAGCCTTTGGGAGGCTGAAGTGAGTGGATTGCCTGAGCCCGCGGGTTCGAGACCCGCCTGGGCAGCGAGACCTCATCTCTACAATAAATCAAAAAATCAGCCGGGCGTGGTAGCGCATGCCTGTAATTCCGGCTACTCAGAAGGCTGAGGCCGAAGGATCGCCGGAGCCCAGCAGGTCAAGGCTGCGGTGGCCAGGAGCGGCCACTGCACTCCAGTCTGGGCGACAGAGTGAGACTCCAACCCAAAAAAAAAAAAGACTAGAACCCAGGTCTATTATCACTTTGTTTATGTTTAATAATTAGGGGACTAATTGATAATTCACATTCAATAACAAGTGAAGAGCTTTGTAGTGCCATGTGACACAAACAAGTGTATCTCTTTCATCTGGATAAGCCTCGAGGGCCCTAAGCTACCATTTCTTCTCGGATTGGTTTCCAACCTGACCTTTTACTGCCTGGATACCATCAGGCAGCCCGGGCTCCTTGCTCCCCACTGCCATACCTCACTCAGCACCAGGATCTCACATCCACGTCCTTAAAGTCCTGGTGTAAATATCAACTTCTCCTCCTTTCTACCCGCTGACTCTGAAAGTGTTAATTAAAATAACTTTTTCTCCTTAGAACTTCCCTGTACTTTATTTGTTCCCCACTTAACAAACATCTCTTTCTCTCTATCTTGTATTTAATTCTTTATAAACCAAGTTTATCTCTCCTCTGGACTCTAAACTCCTCGAGGGTAAGACCTGTGTCAAATTTATTTTTAATTCCCTCAGCATCTATCATAGTGCCCAGAATGTAGTGGAAACTGAATAAATATTCATTGGGTGAATAAATGAATAATGTACAAACATCATAGGAAAATCTTCGTGGCTATTTGTCATTTTCAATAATGAAAACATCATATCTATAAGATGAATCTGTTTCTAAATAAAACTGTATTTCCTAAGCAGAGTGAATTTTGATCCTGATTTGTGAAAGACAACCACCACATACCTTAATGTTAAAGGGTAAAAGAAGGGAAGAATTCATGCTTGACAACAGTTTTCTCTCTCTCCTCTCCTCTCCTCTCCTCTCCTCTCCTCTCCTCTCCTCTCCTCTCCTCTCCTCT